CTTTACCATGTCTCTTTCTCAACCGATTTTATTTTTTAGAAAGCCGTGAATATAAATAAAAATGTAAATCTTTGTCCAAAACATCCAATCTCTGAAAGTTTGTCACCGATTGCTTTGATATTTTGGAACAATGTTGGAATCAAATTCAGGAGTATTTTTATATACATTCCATTACCGTCAGGTCTTTCATTTGGAAATAGCGAACGAAAAACGAATATCGCTTTATAATGTAGCGCCGAAATGGTTGTAACTATTTTAATGAAACTTCTCTTCTCCTTGAAGCCCTTTTAATTTATGCATATAACACACTACTCCGAGAGGAGACTGAAAAACAAGTAACAACGGATTCAAAATTTATTTGCAAATAACCCAACAGTTTTCTATTATTAGTTGGTACATCTAAAACTGTCTGTATGAGAGTAGGAAAAAAAACTAAGGTGTGTGCTTTAGACCACAGGATAGATGTTAAAACATCAACAAGGCGAGATTAATAGTATGAAATATAAATTATATATAATAGCTCATTATAAAGAGGATGAAATGATGAACAATATGCAATTCCCTCGCAAACAATATGCAGGTCCAAATTTATATTTTGAGATATTTTAATCATATTGCAAAAACACTTCAATTATTCAACTCCAGCCGACTTTATGCTAGCGTTACACGTCAAATCTGACAGCTTAATCTAATTCACTCCCCAAGAAAAAAAAGCGCATAAAGGAAATTTGCTTCAAAACATGCAACTTTCTGTTGTTTTCTTCAAATTTTTAATTGTGATTATGGCAACTTTGAGCACTGGGCTAACACTAGTTACAAATAAAAATACTACTCTGGAAGAAAATGTGAAGATAATAGACCAAATCAATGGATTATTAACAATTATAATATAACAGGAAACGTTTGGGATCTAGGAAGAGCCAAAGATACTCCTATGACTTGGACTGCATTTTGAGCGAGGAACCTATGGATATATATAATGATTGGAGGGCACAGGTATTGTACCAGTATACTGTAATATATTGTATATAATATACTGTTTTAATAGACTAACATCATTAGACAAGGATAAGCCTGACATAGACTTCAATTGGGTATCTAAATTTAGAGCAATAGCCGAATTTAATGCCTTTGCAGAAGAGCTTTCTGTTCACCACACAAACGGACTTCTTCGATACAAATACGACATCCTTGAAATAGCAGACAACTGTTTTTTCTCAGCCGACATACAAAGAGCTCTAAACTCAACTAACTATCCTTTATACAGAATGCTATGCAGTTACAATCCTTGGGATCCCGAAATGTACCTTACATTCAAAGTTCATATAAAGAAATTGAGATGTGTTAGTCAATTAAGAGTTGCAAACCCAGAACATATCAGAATCTATGTAAAAAATAGAACTTTTTTGATCGAGTCTCAAGAAACCTGTATATCATACAGTCATTTTTTCTACAATAGTCTACATCACATTATCCTTCACTGCCCAGCATACAATGACTAAAGACAAAAATTCCTCCTTAACTTCATCTCAGAATCTTCTGATAACCACAACATGGAAACTATATTGAATATTGATTGTATAGATAAGTTAAATAAAGTTTACTATTATATGATAGGAATACAGAAAGTGCATACACAAAATTGTTGATCAGAGCCATGTTATATTAAGTGTTTATTTTTAGTTTATCTTAAAAGTAATATTTTGTTTATAAATATAAATTTTTTTATTGTTTCTATCATAGTAACAGGTTCATATAACTATTATTATTAACAGTAATCGTTTTTTATTTTAATTTTTATTGTTATTCATTTTTTGTAAAACACATTATAAACGTAAAATATTGTAAATTTTATAACATATTATTCTACAATAGCCAAGCTAGGATCTATTTATATGGAGAAACCTCCCCTCCCTCCCCAAAAAACAAATACATTTCTATCTATCTGTAATATATTGCGATATTCATAATATATGCAAATAACAATAATATTGTAATAACACGGAGTGGGCAAGAGCAGCATATTACGTATTAGTGCCTGGTGTAAGGATGTAGGTCACGGGAAAGGACTCTCTCCTTCAGCTAGGACAAGGATCGTCCTCTAGTCCTCCCTGCTCCCAGTACAGGACCTCTTGTATCCTGCCCTGGCCGAGGTATAAAAAATATATCATTAATACAATACAACATCAGGACAGAGTTGAATGCCTGAGGATCGGTATACAAGACACCAAATGATGGAAAAAGTTACACCAGATCAAAACTATATTTATAAAAATATAAGTTTACATTAACGATGTACAAAATGTTAAACTCGAATTAATTAAGCTATTAGTACTGCTCATTTTAGCCTCGGTTTCGTACAATAAAAGATATACTAAGACATCTCAACGCTGATAAAATTTTAAATAAAAGCCCCCACTTGGTAGACATCCCGCCCCAGGCGATGTAGGCACGGACGAAGGCGAGCGGGCTGACAATACACGACTAAATAAGGAACTTCGTCGAAGTAAGTTGAATGAAGCCGCGGTTCGCGAACAACACAATTCGCACGCCCGGGCCTCCTCGTACAGCAAGTTTGTCTTAATCAGAATTCCATTGTGCCGACGAACTCGACCAAGTTGGCTCACATTCGAATGTGAAGAAACAAACGTAATTTTCGAAACATGTCGTGCATCAACGCTCGGAAGCAGAGAGGCCACAATTCTGTGACTCAGTTAGGCCTCGGCCACACTCCTCTTCTCCTTCTAGTGAATTATATCACGAACCGACACCTAGATATCCTCCTACTTACGTTTCGGAATATCTGCTTCTAGAAAGCAAGCGTTTTAGGTTTGCGCTCACAATATATTTAAAGATTTATTCTCTATCGATCTCGATAACTTTACAGGCCCATTCCGCGGCTAAGCAATCATCAATTCATACTTTCACAGACCTATATAAGTAATACATAGTAAGGGAAAGTATTGCGATCGATAAAATTTTCAAATCTGAGTTGTGAACGAAAATATATGTTTTGAGATTTCTTCCGAGTCCAAATAACCAAGTACCGTAAAATGGTCTGTGAACAGCCTAGCTCGAAAACGTAAAGTCGTACGAAACTTAAATTCCATATTTAAGGTTTGCATATGGTTAGGATGTTACAGCGAATTTTGTTAAAATCGGACCAAATGGGCAGCTTTATTTAATCGATTTTAAACATATTTACGATTTTCTCGAAAACGGCTTCAACGATTTTGATGAAATTCATTACATCAGTGTAAAATTAGACCTTTATTAATAAAATGTAGGTCTTATTACACTAATGTTCTCGATCAGGGCTTAAATGGCTAATTTTTAAACTTTCTTCCTCCCTAAATTACTTTTTTTAAAATCATTTCGCATTGAAACCTGATGTAAAAAATTGTTAAATATGAAACATGAAAAAATACAATAATTATCTAAAGGAGAAGTGACCTAATATAAGTCGTTGTTAATAGAGAACAGACAAACCCCGAGCCGACCGAAGGTTAGAACAGGCTTCTATACATAAGCATGAGGGGTTTTATTTAATATTTAATTGTATACATTACAGCAATATAAACATTGATATTTATATACATCTATCAACACTTAAAAAATAAAAATACTTATAATGAAATATATATACATTATCAGATGTCGGACTAAAAATATTTTACAGCACTTAATTATTTATTATAACTAAATAAATAATTAAAATAAAAAATATTTAAATGCGAGAAAAACAGCAACATTAGTGTAATACATAATATGGCTGTGAAAAAAGTTAGTAATTGATTGTTTCATAAAACATTTTGTACAGCCTGCGATTTTTACTTTTTCTTTCCTTTGTCTTAAAATACCTATCTCTCATAAAAGAAGAGTGGTAAGTGACGGTTCAGTGATGCGCTCTCCACACCAAATTTTTCTTCTTCAGTTGGGAAGTTCCGGTTTACTATTCATGAGTTTGGCAAAAAAAAAAAAAACTGCTTTTATCTCATGTAATCAGTATATCTCGGGAAAATTTCGCATCATCAGAACTGTTTTTTGTTACAATTGTTTTTTTGTTTTGTTCGTGTACTTCTTTGTCAGTAACATATTTTTTTACTGTGGTGGACAACGCATTTGTTTTTTGTTTTTTGTATACCTATTGAGGCCAATTGGTAGGCAAGAAATGTTTGCCCCTGATAGTGATAAAGTCGAAAATTGAAAAAAAATGATATGTTACTGACAAAGGAGCAAAGATATTTGAAAAGAAACAAAAATATTTGTAACAAAAATACATCGAAGAGGCGAGATTAATAATATGAAATATAAATTATGAATAATGCTAATTATGAAGAGGATGAAATGCTCAACCATTCCCCCACAGTATGCGGGTACGATTATGATTTCTGAGATATTTTAATCCATATCTTCAATAAAATTCTGTATCATTTGGTTTTCGACATCATTTTTTTCATTTTGCCTCCATAACTAAGATTAAATTTTGAATAATAGCTCATTATAAAAGAGATGAAATGCCGAACATTTCTCTCGCTAACAATAATAAAGAATTTTTAGTTTTTGAGATATTTTATACCATAAGCAGAAACATTTCAAGTAGTCGACTTCAGCTGATTTCACCTGAGCGTTACACATTACAGATTTGACGGCTCAATCTAATTCACTGTCCACAAGCAAAAAAGTGTAAAACGCTTCTAAAGAAGTTTTCACTTTAAAATATTACGAAAAGTTCTGATGATGAAAAAATACTCTCGAAAGTCAAGTTGTAAGAATGCGTGACAAAAATGCGGGATATGTGTGACAAAGAATTTAAATTGGTAGCATGAAGTATTATCGATGTGCTAACCACATTTTGATTGATGCCGATGGCTGCCGTTGACGTCAGTGAACAAACCATTCAGGAAACTGGAGAAGAGGATCAGAAACTAGTTTTTGATTTTATTTCGACAAAGCCGATACAATTATAGAGATTTCTGCCTGGAGCTAAGCTGAACTGACTAAGCTCCGGTGTCTGTCGGCTCCTGGACCAACCGCAAGCTAGACACCCGGACCATTCCAGGACGAGGAACATCAAGAGGAGGCGAAGCGAAGCCGCTGCCCGGGGCCGAGCTCGACCCTGCGCTGGTACCGGTAGTGGTAGGGCCAGCCTTAGCTAATTGATAATGTCGTATTATTAATGCGGCGCCAGTTGTTATGTAATGTATTTATTCGTAACCAATTCAGCAACAGCATTTCCAGTCTAGAGCAGTCCGATAACGTGAATAATTTATTTATCATGTTCTAGTATGAAATATTAAAATAAAATTTAAACCACACAGTCTTGCATTTCCAAAATGCAGGCAAAGAAAACATCTGGTGCGGTGCGCGCATCACACAACTTCCACTTGCCCCCTCTTCATAGCAGAAATAAATACATTCAGCCAAAGGGGATGTAAAATTTAAAGTTATAGACGCTATATATATTTATATCTCGATGGAATCTATACAATTAAATATTAAATAATACCAACAATGGTAGTTAAGAAAATTGTATATCTATATGTACATAATATTGTCGGCGACCATATTATATTATGCTCAAGTTACGTATGGAAGGCTATTCTTATCTTTCGGGCGCGTTCATATTCCTTTAGTTCCTTCATTACAACAATTATCCATTACGATCTCTCGTTTTTCCTTTAGTTAATTATCAAATTCTTTTATATTTTTTATATTATAGATCAATGTGAAATGGTTAATTACTTAAATAAACAAAAAAACTAAAGGTACTTTAGAGGAAGCTAATATTGAAAAATAGCCATTTAAGCTCTTTTAGAGAACAACAATGAGAATAAAACCTACATTTCATTAAAAACTGCTTAATTTTACAATAATATAAAGAATTTAATCAAAATCGTTAGAGCTGTGTTGGAGAAAATCGTAAAAATGTGTTAAATCGAATATATAAAGTGTCACTTCCGGTCAGCCGATTTTGACTGAAAGTAACTGTAACATCTCAGGCATATAAAAACCTTAAATATGCAATTTCAATTTTGTACGATTTTTCGTTTTTAGTTAGACCATTTTGCGGTACTTGGTTATTTTGACTCGGGGGACCTCAAAACATACATTTTCTTTAAAAACTCAGATTCGAAAATTTTCTCGATCACCAATCCTTTCGCTTACTATATGCAAACAACTTAAACATACAATATCACTTTTGTACGACTTTTCATTTGTTTATTTAGACGGTTAATAGCTATTTGGACTCAGAGGACCTCAAAACAAATACTTAAAAAATAAATAGAAATTTTCTTCAGTTCACGGCAGCAATTCAATGAAGAAGTTAAATGAAAACGTTAAAGGGCTTTTATAATAATCATAATGGTACCATGTGATCTCTGAACACTATTATAAATGTCCTTTGAGGAAGATTGTAATATTTGTCAACAAATAAGTTAAATATATATAAAAAAAATGGTGTATTCATCCTGGGAACAAAACAAATAATAGAAGTTCCGGGAGCTGAGTAGAAGTAGATTTTGTAATTAATTTATAAATTGGAGAGCGGCACTCTGTACAAATCTCGATCCTAGCTGATGTTTATTTTTTTGTTTCTGTCTCTCCTTCCTTGCCTTTTAGGATATACGGGATTTTTTCCTGGGCCGAGGAAGAGAGCGGGGAAATTATGCCGAGTTAAAAGTCCCACCGGGCACTTGAACTCGTAATTATTTTTCTATTTTAAACTTGTGTTATTAGGTTGCATGGCAACGCATGGAGCTGTGTACACGCGTTAGCTCGCTCGCCCACTCCATCCCCAAATACTCGGCTGATGACAAAAAAGGGAGAGACAAGGCTACATTAATTGGATATCGACTTCGAGGCGCTGTCGTGCCATCTCCAGACTGCAGCATGTTCCAAACAAAAATATAAGGCGGAATCTTCAGCAGGAAACAACTATGCTCTATGACATTGAAACAAAAAGATCGAAATGGCATGACCATTTAGAGAGAATGGCGGAGCAGCTGTAGCCAAAATTAAGCTTTCTCTATCCCCCTCTAGAAAGGCGAAAAAAGAGAACGATCAAGGAAGATATGGTTGCAGGACGTGGAGGAAGGCATGGCCGCCAGAAGTCTTAGAGAGGAAGACTGGCTAAATCGAAAGAAAGTTTGGATACGATAAACAACTAAGTTGTAAAAAAAAAAACCGTTAGTAAGTATTTTTTCTAGATTGTTAGAAATTGAAATATAACGCATAAGCATTGCATGAACTATTGTTTGTTGACTATATTATTAAATAATAGTTGCCTATTACGATGGATACCCACATCTGCATACATTACTGCTTGCCTTGCCAAGCTTACACTGCTGCTTGAACCAAAGTGCCGAGGTGTTCGATCAATTGGACGAGCTGTAGAATAGCTTTTGGAGGACCCTCGCCTGCACGAGGCGTCGTGACGTCAGGAGAGGCCCGAACAAGATAAGGGCTGCTCGATATCGAACCAAGATGGAATCCTCTTTAGAGTCTTTTTTATTTGGTCTAGGGCTTCATCAACCGGCGGGTGTTTTTATTTTTATAGCCAGGGCTGGCATGTCGCTGCGCACGAAGACATTTCGGCCCAGGATACCAACAGCTCCTCTCGAACAACGCCTGGGCTACTGTAGTCACCACAGGAGAATGTAGTAGGATCTACGAACTATCCGGCGGTAAAAAGGAAAATAATAAAAAAGTTAAATATATTTGTTGATATTGTTAAACCATTTATGAATGACAATGGAATTATTATGAATAAATTAAGTGGCCACTGACTAGCTTAAGGAATCGTTTTAATTACAATAAACATCTGTTATATCAAGGGGACCAACACGATAACAAACTAATGAAGAATAACATAATAAGCAGCAAATCATTATATACCATTTCTCAAATATATATCCCTACTCCATTGGTGCAGTAATGGGACTTCATTATCCATTGGTGTGATAATGAAAAGAAAAAGAAAAACGTGTAACACCAAAAAGCATTATATTTAAATAGATATGACAATTAATGTAATTTTTGACATCTGGTGCCACATCACAAAATCAAGTAAACATGAGGAATTCTCTGAGAATGGAAACATTGTCCCGAAACGTAAGATATAATAGATGTGATTAAAAAAGACTATAGAAAAACGGAAGTATATTTGTCTTAACCTTAGAAAAATACATTGGACTATTAGATGTAAAGAGCAATAATTTTAACAGAGCTCAATTCGAAGCTATAAAGTAGTTTGTGATAAGACCAATATCAAAACTGTTCTACATCAAAATGCTCTATTTAACAGAAATTATTTGTTTTTATGTTTTGAGGTATGCTGAACACGAATCAAAATCAGGAAATCTGTATCAGGCACCATTTCATCTCAAATTCGTGTTGAGGGTCAAAAAATGAAAAACAAAAATTTGATTTTGAAGCATTTATAATGTATTACAACATGGAAAAATTCCGAGAAGTCAAGTATAAATTGTATATTTGTACTTACTAAATATATATATTTTTTTAACTTTATCGCAGGTAATTAATAAGAAAATCACGTGAAAATGGACGTGCCCACATGAGAGGTGAATGAATCATAAAATCCAAGTATATGTTTCTAAGTTATTATATCTGAATATAAATGACAATTTAAATAATAGGAATATTTAGGTCGTGATAAAATAGTTACTAGGAACTACTTATAAGTCTTGGCTTATACCCGGCTAGTCGGCTTTTCTTATTTTCTTAATCGATGTTAGTTTACATATTTTATTCATTCATGGGACTTATTTGTTAATTTTTTTTTGCTTCGAATTATTGCGGGGCGGGGGGATCATAAACAGCCCCTTCCTCGAAATCTGCGCCTATTATTCTATGTGTAAGAGCCTTTATTCAAATAAGTTACAATATTCCTCCCCTTTTTGGAGTACAGGTGATTTTTTTTAACATTGAAGTATATTTTCTTTTATATTCTCTGCAATACCGGTCCTCCCACCCAGCCAGCCATGTTTCGATCCCGACTGGCGAGGGCAAGCGAGGTTCAATGTAAGTTGCATTTTAATTTTTAAATATTAATCTTTATAACAACTTTCCTTTTGAAACGATAGTAGCAACAATGATTCATTTAAAACATTAAATTAATAAATGGTTTATAGTAATAAAGCAACATTATTTAAACATTACTATAGGCAGTATATATTGTTCGGACCTCACTTATCACGTTTGTAGGGTAGTTATCTGAATCTCCCTTAAAAATGTCATGTTAAAAGGCAACTATTAATAATAATGTACAAAGTTTGCTTATTTGTATAATAAGATACGGTATTAAATGCTAGTATCAAATGTCATGTACCAAAAATGATTATAGATTATGATAATCCATAATATAATAAAAAATATATATACTAAAAGATTTATAAATAATATTTTAAATGAAGAATTCTAATTTCCATTCAACCGATGAAAATAAATATATCTGTAGCCCGGCGGTAAAGAAAACCATGTCAATTTTTAATTAAATAATTCAGTAACAAATTTTAATAGCCAAGTTTAGGGGGGAGGGGGGATTAAAGGGATAATTGGCTCCCCTGAAAAACACAAAAATGCGACAAGATGTCTTTCTTTTATCTCCGGGGTACAGACATTGAACTAATAATTAACAATAAATTCGAGAGATTCTACTAAAGGTTTTTATGGAATTCATAACTTCCAGGCCATTCTGGAATAACAACTCTAGGTTATTGCAACGAATTATAGTTTTGGTTGCGTTATACTCAGTGTTATTGAACGATAATGACGTCCTCTGAACTCTGCAGCTTTGGAAAGTTGTTAGATTTAGTATTTACAAAAATGTAAAATATCACCGATTTCGTGGTAGGGCATTTAAATAAAAATCGGTCTAATAGTCTTGGAGAAAAACCGGGTGGGTACGGCGGACGAAGTATGATAGACCGATAATTGTTTTTTTTTCGATTTTCAAATTTTACATATCGTGGAACGTACAAATTTCCAAATTTGAGGGGAGGGAGGGGTTAAGTTTTTGAATTTTTTGGACGATTGCAAAGGTAAGAAATAAACCAAAAATATTTAAAATTCGCGACATCTTTACTAGTATTGCTTTGATTTCGATGAAACTTTCTTTTTTGCATTTTAGGAGAAAATTCAAATAGCTTTGAAACACCTGATTATAAAAATTACAAAAAAAGTGTATACTTGTAGAATTATTCGGAAATCTAATTTGACAAATCTTCGTAACTTTTTTTACTACGTCTTTTCGTTGAAGAACGTTATATAGATAAATTTAAAGGGCATCGAGGAGAAGATTTTAGCCAAGTTCCATTGAAATTGGTACATTCGTTTACCCGCTACAGTCTATACCAACACAGGTTTCTCGGCCGCTATGTTAGAAGTAAAAGGTGGATGGTAATGTCGAAGTAGGAGGATCATCTTCGGGTGATCTATGGAGTTTGATTCCAAGTTCGAAAAAAAAAACCAGTCTAGTAGTCTCGGAGAAAAGTCGCGAACGGCGGACGGACAAAATGTTTTTATTCGATTTTCGAATTCTACGTATCGTGAAACGTAAAGCATCAAATGTAGATTGGGCGGGTTAAATTTTTTGAACGATTACAATGATTCATTATTGAAAATAATAAACAAAAATTAGCATATCACCAAACAATCTGAGGCCGGCAAAAACACTATTACATATTTAAGAGTTTAAATAAAAACATCAAAACATTTAGAAGCCACAGTTAGTGAAGATGGAGAAGCAGGTGATAAGAGGATAAATCCCGAACCAAGGAGAGAAATATAGAAGATATAACATGGAAGGGAACCTCCCTCTCTTCTCTCTTATCTATGGCTTTCGGTTCAGTAACCTCGGGCTTAAACTGCCGTCGGGTGTTTCGATAAGTCGCATTAACCAAACCTTAAAATTATTTTGTCTGCAGGAGCATTTTATTTATTTTTATTTTTTAACTTGTTTATTGAAAAATATTACAATCTGTCTCAAAGGACAATATCATTTATTAGAAGAAATAATGATAACAACATAAGTATAATTCCGTAAGGGTGGAATCTGAAGGTAAATAAAAAAACTGTAAATATAGATTCAAACCGAACCGCAGTCGACAACCGTACAACCGTTTTCATCATAACCTAGATGGAAATATAGATAGGTTAATAAAAGATAAAAAGATAAAACATCTGATAAGGATATCATTGCGAAAAGAAGCTGGGTTAGAGATCTTAATATTTCTGGAAGGATGTGTGTCTTTAAGGTTTCTGAATCAAACCAGAGAACAGAAACTGGTTTTAATGATCACTTTATTTATTTATAAAATAATTCTGAATGACGAAATATATTTCTTATGAAACTGAAATAGCAAAGTAAGGATTTGAGAATGTCTTTCAGAGGTATTTTTAAATATATTACAAGTTACATCACATGTAAAATTATGTAGAAATTGGTCATATAATTTATAATTATATATACTATATTAAGTACCAGAATATCTACAGAGAAAAGAAATAATTAGAAGAAAAAAAGTCAGTTCTACTTTTTGAGAACTTCATCAAGCTTTACCACAATAGTCCCGGATATTCTTGAAAGAGCTCCTAATTTATAAATAAAACATTACAGTAAAAACGTCAGCTGAATAAATTATTATAGTTAAATAGAAACTGATACTAGTTCAATTACGACAAACAAGCATGTTTTAGTAAATTTATTTTAAAAAATAAAGAAACACTACAGTAAAAATCAGTCTGTTATATAAAAAAGCTTTTAGTGATTGTCATATTTTATTTTACACATACCACACTTCTTATTCCCAGGATTATTTATTCCTTATTATATTCCGTGATATAGACTCTAGACCTCTTTTAATCAAATTATTGACATCTGGCTGAAACTTCGCGAATAGCTTCATCTCATCGTAACCTACAAATATTGTATCTACAGAATTTTCTGAATTGGTACGGTTTTAATATGGAGGTCGGCAATAATAATTTAGAAGGCCACCTTTTTTCCTTAGTATGTGCTTAAATTATCTTCCGATTCAAGTGTAAAACAAACGGGTATTTACGAGTTTTTAGTATCTAATTAAATAACACAGTTTGACGATCTCCATATTGAAAACGCCCATCTCCGAGAATATTCGTAAATAAAATATTTGTAAGTAATGATGAGATGAAGTTATTCACGAAGTTTCAGACGGATTTTAATAATATGATGAAAAGGGGTCTGTATCACGGACAATTATGGTTACGAATTGGCAATAAGACTCGATTTATAATATAGATTTTTAAAGAAATTAAAAATTTGTCTGAACTGTGGTATCGTTCAGTTTATTTTATGTTGATAAAAAATAATACGTTAATTAATCGACATGTTTCGGCGAATATTTCGGTGGAGAGTTGAAGAACGTTAGTTTAAAACTAGAATTACTTATAAGACTATTGTTGCTGTTTCCTTCGCTATTTTCCAGTAAGCAATATATATATATATATATATATATATATATATATATATATATATATATATATATATATATATACACACACATTAACATGACAATTACAGTTATACAATTT